ACAATTGGTGTGTGGTGGCTCCATATGATAGCACCATATTGCAAATCACAAGGTCCAAGATTCGAGCCTGCCAGCTGCTCCTCAGAAGAAAGATGAGACTTTCTTCTGCAAAGATCTACACGCCTCAGAAACCCTACACAGGGTCATTATAAGTTGGAACTGACTTGAGGACACTTAACAGCAACAATGACAACAACAATAACAATTATAATGATAAAAAACAAAACTAAACTGAAAGCACACCTTTGTTCCTCTGTGTACTTGAATACAGTACTCATGCTCTGCTTGTGTTGCATTGATGCTAAATCTTGTACTTTATAATAAAGCCTGTTTTAGAACTGATCTGTGATATTACTGTTGTTGTTGTTAGTTGACATTAAGTTGCCTAAAACTCATGGCAACCCCATGTACATCAGGACGAAGCATTACCTATTCATTCCTGTGTCATCTTTACCATGGTTGGAATGCTCAAATCTATTATTGTAGCTCCTTGAGTGCCTTCCAACCTAGGGGATCATCTTTTAGCACTATATTTATTAGACAGTATTCTGCCATGATCTATAGTGGGGTAGGCACTGAATTGCTAACCACAAGGTTGGTAGTTTAAACCTACCAGCCGCTCTAATAGAAAGATGAAGCTGGTCCCATAAAGATTTACAGTCTTAGAAACCCTACATAGAGTTACTGTGAGTGTCAATTGACTCAATGACTATGGGCTTTTGGTTTAATTTTTTGAAACAGAAAACCAGACCCTTTTTCCAGTCTGTTTTAGTCTGGAAGCTCCACTGAAATGTGTGCACCTTGGATGTGTCCCTGTTGGTATTTAAAATACTGGGGCTCTTGCTTTCAGGATCATAGCAATACAGAAGCCAACAACCAGAGTGTGATAAATTGACAGATGGTTGATACATAGCTAGATTCTCCAGAGTTCTGAGAAGCATTTGCCTTTTGAGCAGGTCTAGGCATTAAATGTGAGAAATAATGGCCCACACGACAGGATTCAAATGCCCCAGTATGGATGAATGACCGCTTGTAATCTGCCTTGCCTATTCCTTCCACTGAATCGTCTTCATATTATCTCTCATACCCTGCCCTCTGGTCCTCAGTGACAAGCAGCCTCTGACTAAGCTAGATTATTTCGAGCATTTGCTTTTTGTTTACTTCAGCTGGTCTTGGCAAGTGATACTGCTTTTTCTCTTCTCTATCCATCTCAAACACATACTCATCTTTTGGTTTTCCTTTCCTGAAGACCCACTCTTCTGTTATTTATTTCTCACACAGAGTATCATCAACAAACTTTTCCAAAACTTAGTGGCTGTAAAACAACGTAATTTATCATTTAGTTTTAATGATTCATTCAGTTTTAACATAGCTCAGGAGGGTCCTCTGACTCTGAGTCTCTCACAAGGCCATAGTCATCTTAAAGCTTAATTGATCTACTCATGAGGCTATTGGTAAATTCATTTCTTCGTGTGATGTTGGGCCTCAGTTGCTCATGATTTGCTGACTGGTGGCCTCCTGAGTAACTTGCTATCTCACAATATAACAGTTTACTACATCAGAATTAGTAAGCAAGTGGGCAAGAGAGAGAATGCCAGCAAGGGAGGCGCTAACTGTCACCATCTTTTATAACCAAACTACAGAAGTAAAATGTCATCTGTACTCCTGTTGTTAGGTGCTGTTGAGTCGGATCCCAGTTATACTGACCTGTGCACAATAGAAGGGAACACTGCTTGGTCCTGCACCATCTTCACAAATGTTGTTATGTTTCAGCTCATTGTTGCTTGCCACGGTGTCAATCCATCTCATCAGGGATCTCCTCTTTTTCACTTATCTTCCATTTTACCAAGTATAATGTCCTCCAGGAACTGGTCCCTCCTGATAACAAGTCCGAAGTACGAGAGATGAAGTTTCACAATCCAAGCAAAGTGAAGTTTTTAACAACTTCACGTTTTTCTCCCTTTATCATGATGTTATTTATTGGTCCAGTGTGAGGATGTTTGTTTTCTTTACATTGAGGTACAATCTGTACTGAAGCCTTTGATCTTCCATCAGCCAGTATTTTATTTAAGTCCTCTTTGCTTCCAGCAAGTAAGGTTGTATCGTCTATATATTGCAGGTTGTTAATCAGTCTTCCTCCAATCCTGATGCCATGTTCTTCTTCATATAATCCAGCTTCTTGGATTATTTCATTAGTGTACAGATGGAATAAGTATGGTGAAAGGATATAGCCTTTGTGTACACCTTTCCTGATTTTAAACCACTCAGTATCCCCTTGTTCTCTTCTAACTGCCTGTAGTTATAGGCAGTTTGCCAGGTGCAGCCCATATGCAAGGAGAAGGACATTTAACAAGGATCTGAATACCAGGAAGAAGGGGTTACTGCGGCTTTTAAAAAATCTGCCTGCCACAGCCTTCAAAGCCTGTAGAGCCCTGTTGGGCAGGCCTCATGAGGCCAGGTTGGGCTGGATAAGAACCTACTTATCCTGTCTCATTCATATTTACCTGCCTTTCATGGTAAGAACATATTAATACCATGAGTGTGATTTTAGAGTTTAAAGAAAGGCATATTTTAAACAATCTGACTGTGAAATGCTGTTTGAAAGTAAACTCCTTCATCAAATCTACAAATGAAGAAAAAAAAAATGGCCTATTTCCATGCTAGACAAAAATTGTTTGTGTTGGATTTACTCAGAAAAGGTGATAAAGCTCACCAACATTGTACATCCTTAAGTGAGATTCAAAGGTAATTTTGACTGTATGCAATCTGGGATTATGTCCTAGATGTAGTTTCTAAACCGGACTAAGATGAAAGTTGTCTATGTTTTCAAATGTTACCACCTGCACTCACTTCTTTCTGGGATGGAAGCTACCTGAAAATGTAGTTATGCCTCATTCATCTCCAACACTAGCATGTTCCCAGGCACTTACCCTCTTAACATTCTCAATAATACATGCTATGTTTATATGTTTTCTGGTGTTTTAAATACATCCAATGCTAAATTTGCTAAGCACTGCTATGATTTTAGTAACTGAGCATTTTGTAGCTCTTTAACTAACTAATATGGTTATAGGGCGTGACCTTACTCTACAATACTTGTGATTTCAGTGTTATTTTGCTAGTTAGTTAGGGCATTAGCAGTTTTTGCCCTTGAATCAACGTTCTCTACTTTTCTATACACCGTTTCCAAATATTTTGTCCTTTTGAGTCAAGGGAATTGCCCTGATTTTATGATGACATTTGGGTACGATATTTAAACTGTTAAAAGTTATAAAAACGACCCTTTGGTATTAAATGTAATAAATGGCTCTGAATTGAATACATGCACAGGTTCTTTTATATGAGCGTTGTGAGCCCAAACTGCTCCAGTTACATACTCACATTGTAATTGGATTCTATGACATTCTCTTATTCCCCAAGAGTATGCCAGCCAATGCCCAGTCATGAATATTTCTCATGACTTGGTGTTGACATATATTTTGGATCTTTGGAGGCTTTGGCTTTCTTCACTTAACTAGTATATGAGAATTGCCCTGTCCAGTTCTGAAAAAGCAGAGGTGTCTGTCTCTGCAAGGTAAAAAACAAAACAAAACATAAACTAGTTTCAAAGGCTTCTCTGAACACCATCTCTAAGAGATTTGTTGCAATTTCCAAATAAGGGGGTGTAGTAGATGCAGAGGTTTGTAGACTATCCTGACTTTGCTCAGCTTCACTTTGCCAATATTTTCTTTTCTTAACCCATAGATTCTCTTCACTGTATTTGTTTTTAATGGCATGTATTTTTCTTTGAAGTTTTGAACTATTGCCATGCTTGCAAGTTTCTAAGTAGATGTAAACTCTCAATATAGGAGTTCATTCTCTTTTAGTGTCTTCTCCCATCTAGTTTCCTGTTTTATACCTATTATAACACCCTGCTGGTCAGGTGGCTAGGATTCAGCAGTTTCACTGCTTTAACCCTGGTGTGATCCCCAGTCAGGGAAGTCAAATCTCTCTCTTTGAAAAATCTCTCTTTGGAGTCCACCAGTTGCTCCTTGGAAATCCTATTCAGAGTCGCTATGAGTCAGAACCTAGTTGATCTCACTTAACAACAACAACATAACATCACCCAGAAGCAATGGAGGATCAGTGTTAGAATTCTTGCCTTCCATGCAGGAAACCTGGGTTCAAATCCCAACCAATGCACCTCATGCACAACCACTACGTGTCAGTGGACTATGTATTGCTATGCTGCTAACAGAAGTCCTGATGTGGTTCTGTCCAATAAGTACTGACTGTTAACTGCAAGGTCAGCAGTTCAGACCCATTCCGTGGCACTCAACAACAAGAACAACAACATGATGCTATCAGGTTTAAGTAGAGTTTCCAGATTAAAACAGATTGGCAATCTATTTTGGAAATTAGCCAATGAAATCCCTGTGAGTCACAAAGGTCCTATTATTGTGCATGGAGTTGCCATGAGTTGGGGGTCTGACTGGATGGCAGCTAACAATACCACCAACAAATAATACCACCCCAGACACACTTCTAAAATGGTGACAACATGTCGAAGAAGGTATAATCTACCTTTATTAATGGTATGTTAGAGATCAGAGATGAGGGGCTGGACCATGACTGGATTGCTGTAGTCAAGGATGAAGGCAAGTCCCAGAAGACATCGTAACTCTGAATTAACTCTACCTGGGGAGAGATGGCTACCAGAATCTCCTGTTGCTCTCTGTAAGCACCAGTGTATATTACTGCCATGAAACTGTATTGCAATATTTTGTAGTTGTGATTCATTCATAGTTTAATATGCTTCTAGTTCTGTTTGACTTTTTCCCCCAGGAAGAGACTAAAATCTCTTCATTATAATATAGACAGTGTATTGCACTTTGAATACAAATTTATCCATGTTCAGAGTAATTTTTCTTGTGATTGTCTCTACCCTGGAGAAGTGCCTTTAATGAATTACATACAAATTGTGTAATTTAAGAAGTTAATTTGGTGTTCTGGTTACACAGGACTAAAAACAGCCCTTGTAGAAAGAGATGATTTCTCATCAGGGACGAGCAGCAGAAGCACTAAATTGATCCATGGTGGTGTGAGATATCTTCAGAAGGCTATCATGAAGTTGGATATTGAGCAGGTAATTGTGTATGCTGTTTGTTAAACAAAAATTGTGACTATGCTTTTGTTTACCCAATTAAATCAGAGGTCTTTGTTTTTTGTTTTAAATTTTTATGGTTTTTAACATTTCTTCCTTTTGAGAATACCTGTTTAGTGTATTCTGCGCTGCTGTATCTTTCAGAATAGGTGTGTCTGTTCTTTGCTCTAATATATTTTTGGGTAATCGGGGGATTTTTTTTATACAGGCATGTCAAAATGGCATATTTACAAAGTCACTTTTGGATATGCTGTCTTTTAACAATAGTGATTGAGTTTTTGCCAGTGGTCACCAAATCACTACTTCCTGGGCAGATTTCGGGGAGCTGTGCTGTAGGGCACAAGGATTGTCACACGGATTCTTTCACCAGCAGTACAGTCTTGCTGTCATATTTTCAGTGACCTGAGTCATGCTTTTCTTATGTCACACTTATTGTGTCCAGCCTGCCACCATTTGAAAACTGCCAAGGCAGTGTGGAAGATGGCATTTGCCGGAGGGGTAAAAAAAACAAAAACCGGCTGAGCTTTCTCTGCTTTTCAAACATGAAACACCCAGCAGCAGAGATTTGTCATTATCAGTTTTGAATCTGTCCCCTTTTCTTATGTTTCTTGTTGTCGTTGTGATGGATGAAAGGAAAAGAACATAGACTTTAGGATCAGATGACTTGTCATGTGCTCTAGCTTATTGACTCAACTTCTATGCGCCTCAGTTTTCTCATTTGTGAAATTAGTATTGCAATACTTACGTTGGCTCTTCTTCATAGAGGTATAATGAGGGCTCAAAGAATTAAGACAAACGCTTTTATATAATTTATAGAGTACTGAGCAACTGTTATGTATCATCCTCACATGGCTCTGTAAAGGCTAGAAGTAAACTTTTAGTGTGCATTTGAACAAGCTGTTATCCCTTACCTGGAAAAAAATATTATAGGGAACTGAGAAGAAGGACAATACAGAGAATGCAAGATAAATTGTTACAATAATCTTGTAACTCAAGTCAAGGAAATATCTTACACCTGGGAACTCTGACAGCATGTTTTTCTCCTATGCAAATACAGTTAAGGTTTCTAAAAAATCTTTGAGGTTGACAGCATGATGTATTATTAGAAATTTGATTAGGAGGGAGAGCTATCCTCGCTCAGAGGTAGAGAGGTTTCTGTGTATCAATCAGTTGGCAGGGTGTCTGTTTGCCATTTGAAAATATTATGATCTGTTACTGCCAAACTAATTTTCTCTGTTTTGCTTTGCAGTATAGGATGGTAAAAGAAGCCCTTCATGAGCGTGCCAACCTGCTAGAAATTGCTCCCCATTTATCATCTCCATTACCTATAATGCTTCCAGTTTACAAGTAAGCTTTTGGATATCACCTGTGTACTATTTGCTTATCTGAGGTCAATAGAACAACACAGTTTTAATGAAAATAATCCCTCAATGTGTATTTCTTAATGTGGTTTTAATTGGTTCTAATCTTTAATCTTTTTCAAATATTTTCCTTTGTAGTATTTAAAAATGTGGCTTTTCCTAAATTACTTTCTACTGACCCACCTCTAAGCACGAGCTCTTGAAGGCAAAGAGGATTGTGTTGTGCATGTATAATCAGTAACTTCATACTCCTTTAAGTGTACACAGATGAGCAAATGCATTTGCACTGGGGAACATTTGCACTGGGTGATGTGTAGTGTGTAAAATGCAGAGTCAAAATGTATACTACTGCAAAATTATACCCCACCCTGTACCAACTCCAAAGCCAAACCATTTTCGGTTATTTAAATCCCCTCATGTGGCACTGCAGGATAAGCACTGGAGTAGTAATCTCAAGGTTGGTGGTTCAAACACACCAGCCTCTCTAGGAAACACTATACAGGGCAGCTGAGAGTAAGAACCAACTTGATGGCACAAAACAATAACAACAACTGTTAACTTTGTTGAAGTTAAAGGCCGTTGAATGGGTTCATACTCACAGTGATCCTATGTAGGATTTCAAGGAACGGATGGTGAGTTTGAATCGCCAAGGTTCAAACTACCTTGCAGTCGAGTGCTTATCCAACAGTGCTACTAACATTTATAGGGACCCTGGTGTGGTACTATAGGATAAACACTAGACTCCTAACCTCAAGGTCAGCCACTTAAGTCTATCAGCCACCCCTCAGAAACACTATACATAGTCGCTATGAGTTGAAATTGATTTGATGGTAATTAAAAACAACAACAATTAACTTTAGCTGACATTTAGTTTGACAGGGACAGATTATAAATCTTAAACATTAATTTGCCTACTGTTGTTGAGCTCTTTATGAAGTTGCCTTAAACTAGCCATAAGGTAATGGTTATCCAGGTGATTATTATAATAATATTATTTTTGTTAAGCGTTGTTGAATTGGTTCCGACTCATAGCAGCCCTGTACAGGGTTTCCGAAGAGCCTCGGGTGAGTTTGAACTGACAACCTTATGGTTTGCAGTCCAGTGCTGATCTAACAGTGTCACTCCAGAAGCCCAAGGTAATAATTGGTGGTGGTAATTATGTGCCGTGGAGTCGGTTCTGACACATAGCAATCCTGTATAGGGTTTCCGAGGCTGTAAATCTTTATGGGAGCAGAAAGCCTCATCTTTCTCCCACGGAACAGTTGGTAGTTCGAACTTCTGACCTTGAGATTAACAGCCCAATTCGTAACCACTATGCTACTAGAGCTCCTTAAGGCAATAATTACACAGGTATAAAATCTGCTTCTAGGGTTGAGATTCACTAGTCTAGATCCTAACCAATCTATGCAAAAAGATTGAAAAAAAAAAAAAATCTGATTCTAGAGCCCAATAACACTTGTATGGCTAAAAGAGTTACATATCTGCTTTTTTTTATTACTGGTATAATAAGCAGATTGTGTAATACTTTCAGCCACACAAGTGTTATGGGACGCTATAGATTTTATGCTTTTTCAATCTTTTTTCATAGATTGGTTAGGATTTGTTGTTAAGTGCTGTCAAGTTGGTTCCGATTAATAGCGACCCTGTACAGTTTGAACTGCCAACCTTGTGGAAGTTTGAACCATCAACCTTGTGGTTCAAACAGACCCTGCCGTCCAGCACTTTATCCCACAGCACCACACCAGAACTCCTGGACACTGTGTTGTTGTATTTCAACCCTGGGTTTATATTAGCATCACCTAGGTTCTCATGCTGGACTAATTAAATCATTCTCTACAGTGTGAGACCCAGGTACCAGCTTTTTATTTTTTGTAATGATCCCCCAGAGAATTCTAATATACAGCCAGAGTTGAGAACCACTGCCTTACAGATCGTTAATTAAAGTCTCACTGGCTCATTTTGCTCATGTGACTCATCTAAGTTGGTGTCAGAACAGTCACTCAAGTTCTTTTGTAACACACTGGTAGGTATGCTTTGTTTTGCTGCAACGGGAAATATTTTGTAATTTAAAGTGATGTTTTATAATGCTACAATCTATTTCTAAACAAACCTGTCCCTCTATTTATGTTGTAGGTGGTGGCAGTTACCTTACTACTGGGTAGGAATCAAACTATATGATCTGGTTGCAGGAAGTAATTGCTTAAAAAGCAGTTATATCCTTAGCAAATCTAGAGCCCTTGAGCACTTCCCAATGCTTCAGAAGGACAAGCTGGTTGGAGCGATTGTCTACTATGATGGTATGTGACTTAAAAAAAAACAACCAAGATTCTTTTCTCTCGCTTATGAGCCTTACAGTATAATTAATGAGATAGTTTTGCACCCTTATGTTTAATGCTTAGCTTACATCCACACATTCATCGTTTTTTTTTTTTTTTTTTCCTAATACTAGCTGAAAGGATCCTCATAATGTTTTTGTTTTCAAGATTGTTTGCCTTTCATTTTTCTTTTCGTTTTTGATTTCCACTTTATATCTCATGGTTGGTTTGGTCCATTTTCCAACATCACAAATTTTGACCCCACCCTCATGTTATTTAATTTGTTTGGTGTTTGCCAGTGAATACTTGTCTTATGAATATGTTATAATGTTGAAAGCAGCTGAGGATCTGTTAGATTTTCTAGATGAAACCTCCATTTTCAAGGGGTTATAAACCTAGAGAAAAATGCCCCCTGGGCTGAAATTGACATGTTTGTACTGGGCACAGGACACAATTCTTGTACATACAATTTATGTGATAAATGTGGGTGAACATTGCAACTGTTAAACCAAACCCTCAGTTAATATTGCATTTTTTTTTTTTTTGAGGTTTTCTAGTAGTGACCTTTCTTTAGTGTTCATATACCATGTGTTCAATGTTCATTTTCTTTTTATTTTATTTTTTGGAATGTGAATAATATAATTGTGTACACTTTCATATGAAGGAATGAACCACTTAACTATACCTCCAGATGGACCACAAATAGGAAATTATACAAACAGGCAAAACCATTTGTAGAATTTTATTATCATTTTTAAAGAGTGTACATAGAATTGGAAAATAGTTCAAAGACTTTCACTGAAAAGGAAATAACTAGAAAATGATAATGGCACTTGTTCAAAAAGTCTTAGGAATTTTAGCAAATGGCATCGTAGGCTCTATAGTTCAGTGAGTCATCCCCTACTCCCTCCTCCCCCATTATGCAGTCTTGTAATCACTGTTGGATATCTCAACTCTTAGCATGAATAAATATTTTGTTGTTGTTATTTCAGGAGACTTTGATATTTAGACTTCATATTATGAGATGTCTTCAAGGCTACCCCTCCATTTTTTCCTTCTTTTCAGTTTTGCATTTCTGAATCCATTCAGCTTTCAGTTTTATACATGAAAGCAAAATGCCCATGCATAAAAGGGATAATGGGGGCCAAAATCAAGAAAATGCCATAGCAGCAAAAATAGTAGAAAAATTTTAAAAGCTTTAGACAAACATTAAAAGCTAGGACACTCACTGTTTGCAGTGATTTCCAACATCTGGCCACCACAGGGGGCCACTTAACTAGTTTTTTGGTACCCTCAATTGTGTCTGCGTGTTAAAGGACAACCTTAACTGTGAATTTGCTTTCTCTGCATCAGACCCTTAATTTTAATCCATTGTAGCTTATTGGGTGATTATATTAAAGAGGGTTTGGTCCAGGAGGAGTAAAAAGCATCCTGCAAATAGCTTCCTGTCCATCCTGCGATGGACGTATTTGTGCCCTTTGCTGCTTATTGTTAATCCTTTCTGCACTAAACCATTTCAAATACTTGTTCAGTTTTCTACCATGTAATGTATTGAGCACCACTTTGATATATTAACTTGTGCATCGCCTTAATAGGAATATTGGTAAATGTATACTTGAGTTTGTGATAGAATCTGCCTTATGTTGGTTTGGTATTGTTATGAATTATATATTTTTATTGATTCTGCATGGAGAAACTAAGGAAATCTATGTCACCAAATACAGAAGAAACATTATTGTATTAAAATCAAGATGAAGAAGGATTTCTTGAATCTAGATCTGGCCTTTAATTGGTTACAGGTTGCAAAATTAAGAGTTTAGCAGAAATCATTTGAAGTTTTTGAAATTATTCCAGATAATTGCAAATGGCTCTTTAAAAGTTGATATTGGAATATCTTAATCCTTAAACCAATGGGGAAGATTTATTAGATTCTAACCATTTGGAATGAATAATTTTTGTTTTTTAAAACACTTTTTGAAATGATATAGACTCAACTATGTCCTGTTTGAGGTGAGGTAAAATAAGAATGTGAAACAACAATAGAAACTTGAAGGTTAGTACTAGGCTCTCATGACTGTAATCCCAGATAGGGACAACTCCTTTTTTACCTAATATTGTGAGAAGCAAATTAAATATCAACATGGAAATAAGTTAGAGTGGAACGTGTAGGTAAAAAAATTACATGTAGCAAATTTGAGAATTTTGAAGAAGAATATTAAAAGTATCATGGACCACCAGAAAGAACAAACAAGTCTGTGTTGGAAGAAGTACTACCAGAATGCTCCTTAGAAGCCAGGATGGCAATACTTAACTCTTATACATGCTATCAGGAGGAACTGTGGAGTTCTGGTGTGGCGCTGTGGGTTAATGAGCCAGATTGCAAAGCTGTTTGAACTGCAAGGTCGGTGATTCAAGCTCACCAGCTGCTCCTTGGAAATGCTGTATAGGGTCGCTATGGGTTGGATCCGACTCGATGGCACTTAACAATAACAACATCAGGAGGAACCAGTCCCTGGAGAAGGACACAATGCTTGGTAAAGTGGAGGGTCAGTGAAAAAGAGGAAGACCCTCAACAAGATGGATTGGCATAATGGTAGCAGCAATGGGCTCAAGTGAAGCAACAGTTGTGAGGATGACGCAGGACCAGGCAGTGTTTCGTTCCATTTTGCATCGGATCACTATGACTTGATGGCACATAACAACAACATAACAATATGCTGTCCTGAGAGAAAGAAGGGAATGCCTTATTGTCAGCCTGCTACCAAAGCATGAAGGGGCTTAAAAAAGTTCTTGGAAAAAATTGAGCTATAAGATTTTGGACATTTTTCATAAACTTTTTGAAGCTCTCTCATACGTCAGAGGGAAAAAAGAAAATACCTTTCTGCTCATTCACCATTGCAAACTTAAGACGACAAATTGTAATATTAGATAAACCTTCTGTAAATATTTTCTTCTTCAAAATTTTTTGTAATGACAGTCACCCAAGTGATTCCAAGATGCACTTGAACTGCTTGAAATAACTATTTTTATAGCTCCAAACTTTGGAGGCTGTTGATTATGATAAAAGTGCCACAAGTCATCAAGCAGACTTTTATATGTTGTATGAAGTTCTGGCAGTTAAGAACTATTATTCTTAACACATTACACAGTACTAGAAAAGAATGAACTAGAACAATGTGAGCATAGAATGGGACTGACTAGTAAACATTGCCATTCACTTAACTCAGACTAGGGACTGAAATGAACACTAAGGTTCCTCGAATATTGAGATGATGGAGCTTATGTAGTTCCTTCTGAAGTACAAAATGTACAAAGGTCAAAATTGTTTTTCATAATTCCTTGTAAGCACATAAACTCAAATAAATGCTAATGGCCCATTGCAAATAATTAAAGTGAAATCTATTACTTCAAAAATTGACAAGAATAAATAAATTCCACAACTTTCTGATATGGTGATTATTGTGGCTCTTCTGTATATGTCATTTGTATGATCCATTGGCATATTTTTTTTTCCTTTTTTTAACTTTTTTTAAATATAAATGTTTTATTGTGAATTGTGTGATAGTTTACATGGCATTGGCATGTTTTTTATTATTAAGTGCTAAAACAGCAGACTTACACATGGAGGAATAATCACCCTCTTTATTCAGTATAGACAAAGATGTCAACTGTCGTGAAATCCAGATGGAATGAACATCAGCATACGCAGTGACATAGCCAATTCTAACTTCTGTTATATTTTCTTCTGGTTTTCTGTTGCAGATAATAGCCAACAAACTGACTGACTGAGACACATCCTAGTGTTTCCCTATCCAGTCCCTTCCTCTCTCCTAATATACATATATATTGGGGAACAGCTAGAACTTGGCCATTACTACTGTTACAGAGTTACTAGGTAGAGTATGGTGACTGGCCCAGTTCTCCTAAATCAGCAAGAGCTATTAAAGGCACCACAAACTTGGGTGACTTGGTAGGCTGTGAGGCTATAATTGTGAATCAGCTGCTGGAGTAACTAATTTCCTGAGGAACTTACTTTGTCTTCCTCTATTAACTTTATTTGAATCTTCCACTTCCCATAGTAAGTCTTTGGTACCATGCTAGTTGGACTTCAGCCATCCAATCCAGTGCACAAAAATGAGATATAATTAAACCTCATTAAATATTTAAAACCATTACATATGCTATTAAACCTCTATAAAACGAAACTGAAGAACACAATAATAGCTTTAAATACTTCCTTCTGTCACACAAGGCATTGACGTAGAGAGAAAGATGTCTGCTATTTCATATCCGATGATGCCCTAAAGTATTACTTATGCACATATCAAAAGAGCAACCTACAAGAAATTACATTGGCTTTCCTAATGTAAATACAAGGTGGTTACAACCATGTTTCAAAGGGGGGAATTAAAGCCTAGGTTTTGCTAGAATATTCATTTTTATTCCAACCTAAAACTCACAGCATACAAATAGATGAATTCAACTCGTGAGAGCGCAAAGCCAATTTAATCTCTGGCTCCCCTGAGGTAAATGTAGTTCACAGTCCTGCCCCCACCACAACCTCAGCTATAATCCCTGGCTCCTGGAGGTAAAAATGCACTGAAGTGAGGAAAATTCTGCAGCAGGATATAATGATCCAAAATGACAGGGACAATAATGACAATGAATTTCATGTCTCCCAGTCACGCGCTGGAGATGCTTGACTAGGCTGACTTATACAATTAAATTGTTACAGGTACAGCAGGAGACTCAGTTAGCTGTATGCTTTAGGGAACGATGCTTCTGGCAAAAAAAGGCATATTGTAGAATCCAGACTCTTTTGTTAGGAGCAAACTATTACTCCTCTAGGCATGCACTCACAACTGTATACTTCAATAAAAGAAAGCCTAGGTTAAAGACAAATCTTTTAAGGTGCTGATTTAAAAAAAAAAAAAAAATCAGTGAATAGCAGGAAGGTGATTGTTTTATTTTTTTTTTGTTTT